ATGAGTCATTGGTTAGCTCCTATGATCTCTCAACTCTTCATTGATGATCTCACTTGTTACCATTTCCAATAAGGTGTAGTAGCTGATAGGGTCCCTATTCTGTACATTTCTCCAAAAGAGAGAGTTCATGCTCGATCCTCCCATAAGGCTATTAGAGCCTCCCTATCTGTCACTTGCACAGTGTAGGTCATCTAAACACTGAATAGGTCATTCGCCTTCTTTACTTATGGTGAAGTACTTAAGGAATTTCTTTTTAAAATTCGGTCAGCTTTGGATGCTTCCTCCTGGTAATCTAGTACACCATATTTCAATCGTTCTACTTTTAGTTAAGGGGAAAGCTCTACACTTCATGGTTAAGGTGGTTCTTCTTAGACTCTTGTGAATCTTGAAGCTATTGAGATGTTTCACAGGATCACCTCTCCCATCGTACTTGAAAATTTTGGAGAGCCTGAAATAGTTCAGCACAGGGGCATTACTAATCGCTTGTGATAATGGTGAATTGTCATCATCATCGTCAAGGTCACAGGACCTTTGTGGTTCATCAGAGTCCTCTTCCCTAAACTAAGTTTTCGGGGAAGGATGGGAAGGTTTTGCTTCACTTCTGGCTTGCTCTCTCCTCTCACGTCCATTTTTAAAGGGAGGATTCTGAGGCTCATTGTTGCAAACTGGTTTATCTTGTCTCTCGAACCGAAGAGGCTCATGTTGCCTATTTCTAGGTATAGGAGGAAGCTGAGCCTGCCTGTTTTTAGGCAACCCTGGGCCCAACCTGTCGAAGATGCTTACAAACATCTAAGGCCAATCTTCTCGTTCATAATTTGAAGGAAAGTTGAATGGAGCCTCATTGGGTTGTTCAGTGGAATAGTTGGTGGATATATCAACCTCAGCCATGTGGCTCTGAACGTTTTCTTCATCGTGATAGTATCCCTGTAATGGGTAATTGAATATGTTTCCTAAGGCTGCATATGGAGGAATTGGGTATCCTCCTTGGCCCCGTATGCTCATCAGCCATTCATGCATCACCGTGTTCTGCTAAGTTATATTCCTCATATTGGCGGCCAATGTGGCTACCTCTCTAGTGAGTCTAGCTGCTATTCTGGCCCCATCCCTTGACCCATCTCGTTTGTGTTGTTGATGAGGTCGAGAGCGGGCGACTGGGATGGTACACGAGGGCTTCCCTTCTTCAAGGTGTTCCCTGATCCTTCGAGATGCATTTTCATCATTACTTGAACTCATGTTAACAAACTTTCCCTGACAGATGTTCCTTTTCTCAAGGATCGTGCTGGCTCTAAGCCATTTTGGATTAACAGTTCTTTCTTCAGAAACACCCTTTTTTTCAAAGGTTAGAACATTTCTTTCGAGTTATTTCCAACTGGCTTCTTCCCATGGGATTTTCGTGGTTAAAATGTGTGATTTCTTACAGACTGCGCCAATATGTTAATCTTGAAAAACATAACACTGACGTGGACAGTAGATGTCGGACACACTCACGCTAACTCAAATAAATTATAGTGCGTTCTGACCAGAGTACCAGAAGGAAGTGATGGAAACGTGAATGCGAGAGATACTTCACGACGTGAGACACAAACAAAGAGGATTGTGCTAACAAAATTACCAATCAAATGCGTATGATTATCAGCTAAAGATCAAGCTAATACATATGGAACAAGCAAGATGGCATATGGAGAATTTTTTTCTCTTAAATGTGTGTTCTAAAAAAAAATGCTCACAAGACCGCCTTTGTATTTCTTTTTCCAATTTTTCCCCAGATCCCAAAAGTTTTTTTCTTTTTTTCTTTACAAAGACTTTTATTGATAGTGTGTTGGTCGACGTGGTATTCGTTGGATCAGAACCACGTGGCCTCATCTCCTTGACTAAGGCTTCACATCACTGTCTGTAATACAATAAATACATTGACAACGGGTCATCCACCCTATACATTAAGTTGACACACCTGACTTTTTTATTATAAATGTTACATCAATCATTCCTAAATATTGTCTACAAATCTTGTAAGGGACAACTTTAGCTTCAGGAGCTTCGGATGAACTAAGGCCTCGTTTTGGAGGAAGCTTTGTATCGATATTCTATGTGAAGAGTTTCATCTTCTTCTCTGACTTTTTTATGTAGCACTTCGGCTTAATAGGAAGTGTTTTGAATTTATGTACTACGGCCATTTAGGCGGTGCTTCTACACAATAATTCCAGCAATTCATTAGATATCTTTATATTTGACCATTGACTTTTCTTTCCACGTGCTACATGGCGTTTTGACTTGAAGTCTAAAGAATGTATGTCGATTTCATCCTCGTTATGCCACATCCTTGTCTGGTTTCCTTGTAATTAATCATTATCTTTGAGATGTTCTTTTATAGTTGTTATCTATCTGAGTTGAATGAATGGTGTGCAATCTAAATCCACGTGTAACGAAAAGCCAGTCCTATCGGCTCCTTCAAGTTAATTATATCCCCAACTTTTGAAATTTATCCCAATATATGTAATTTCCGATAAGCATGTTGCTTTTATCCAACTTGACAAGTTTATGATAATATTTTACAAGTACCTTCTCATTCAATAGGGGAGGACCATTTACCACCAGCTTGATGTCCCCATCCCAACGTCAAGTAGCATGCAACTCTCATCAGATTTATGAAATGCTTTCTTCGACACCTTAAGTATTGTCCAAATTAAAGAAGTTTCAACATTAATGCATCACTGTACGAATACTAACATTGTCCAATAAAATGCATAGCGCAATAAATTTCATAGCTTGGATCTCCTCCAGGCATATATCCATAGTCCATGTAGAGATTTATCATTACAAAAAAATTGTTACTTTACTACCATTAGAAATCATGCATATATAGCTTAAAAGTGCATGGAAAGAATACCAAACACAAGAGAAATAAAAAATGTGGGAATTAGCCAAAAGATTAAAAAAATTAAAAAGACCAGTGATAATAATAAAAAAAAAATGTTAAAGGGTAAAATCCATCAATGGCCATTCAACCTTATACTTGATGTCATCATGGTCGCCTAATTTGATTTTGTTTCACCATGGCCATCCAACTTTATATTTAGTTTCATCATGGCTACCCAATTTGATTTTATTTCACCATAACAATCCAATTTCATATAAAATTTCACCATGGCCACCCAATTTCATATAACATTTCACCATGGTCACCCAACTTCTTTTCACAATTTTCATTAATTTCAAAAGGGATAAAATGGTAATTTTGTATTATATATATAAAATAAATTTAAAATCAAACCAAATTGGGTGGCTATAGTGACACTAAATATTAAGTTGGTGGTAATGGTGAAATAAAATCAAATTAGGTTGTCCTGATTACACTAAATATAAAGTTAGGTGGTCATTGATGGATTTAACTCAATTGTTAAAAATAAAATTAACTAGAATGGTAATCAAAGTAAAAACATTTCTTCACAAAAACGCAAAAAAATTATTCGCTAAAATTACAAACCTCAAATGCACGACGGGTTTCATTTAAGAGATTAAGTGGATTATGAATTCGAGTTGATCTGTCAAGAAATATTTACTTTTAATTACACAGTAATTAATTTAATTCTAACAATGAAACACAAAATAAAACATAACTTGGAAAATAAAGGAAATAACTAAAAACCTTACACAATAATAAATCTAATTTTTCGGAAAATTGGGAAGAGGTAGTAGTTGGAATTCATGATTTCCTTAACCATCATCTAATCAATTTCACAACAAACAATTTAACAAAATGCCTATTAAATATGTTAACTAATTTCCTATTTTAACTAATTTCCTATTTTAACTAATTTCCTCTCAAGCGAAATTAATTCTAATCAATTAGTTTAATAATTATATTTCTATGTCAATTAAAACCCAACAAATTGCATTATCTCTTTATAAAATAGATCAATGGGTCGACAACTAGAATTAGAAGCATATCTCTATCGCCTACAAGAACTTAGGGTATTCTTTTAAACATTATACAAATCACTGAACTCAATCATTTATTGATCAAATAAATAAAAGACATTCAATACAATAATAAATATACATGACAATAAACACTTAAATATTAAAAAGTAAGTATTGAAATTAACGAAACTAGATTAAGCCACACAGGGGCGGATCCGGAAATTTTTCGCGCACAGGCTAAAATTTAAAAGCCGATATAATCATGGTTTAAAAAGGCGGTAGTGAGGCACGCCTTGAGGCCCATGTAGTATGTCTCGAAGCAGTATTTTTTAGGCTAAAAATATGTGGCTCACGCCACTAAATTTGAGACGCACGTCTCATATAATAAATTCATATATAAATTAAAGTAAAATTCATTTAACATAAAAAAAATGATATTGCTCTAACGACAATCATAAATGATATTGCTCTAACGACAATCAACATATAATTTAGTAAGCCGGCAAGGCGACAAAAACTAAAAAATAATTCATTATGCCGGTAAGGCAATAACAACAATCATTATGCTGACAAGATAATATTTCGATAAAACAACTTATACAAGTAGGCGAAAACATTCAATTCAATATTTTGCCGGCAAGGTAATAAGCAGTGAAATGAGCAACTTGACTTGCTAGGTGTATTCAAGTTTTTGCTTTTCCTATGTGCTTGTGTAATTAATCCTGTTGACACTTGACAA